GCTCTCCTAATATCTAACAAAATTGACTCCAAACTAAAATCAATTAAAAGATGCGGAGGGCACTTTATAATCATAACAGGAAAAATCCATCAAGATGAAGTCTCAGTCATGAACATCTATGTGCCAAATAAAAGATCACCCACATATGTAAAAGAAAAATTGCATATAAAGCTTAAATAATGATAATAAAAAGCATATAAAACCCCACACACTAATAGTAGGAAACTACAACACCCCACTCTCCACAACGGACAGGTCAACAAGAGAAATTTAACAGATCAATAAGAGAACTAACAGATGTCATGACTCAAATTGACTTAAAAGATATCCACAAAACATTCCACCCAAACACAAAAGAACATAACTTCTTTTCAGCACCTCATGGAACCTTCTCTAAAACTGACCCCATACTTGGTAACAAAGCAAACCTCCACAGATACAAAAAATTGGAGTAACCCCTTGTATCTTATTGGATCACCATGTTTTAAAATTAGGACTCAACAAAAACACTAATTTCACAAAGCCCACAAACACGTGGAAATTAAACCGAGCTCGATTGAACCACTCTGGGTCAAGGAAGAAATAAAGAAAGAAATTAAAGACATCCTAGAATTCAACAAAAATGAATGCACAACGTACCCAAACCTGTGGGACACTATGAAAGCATTGCTGAGAGAGAAGTTCATAGCAAAATGGAGAAAGCTCACATTAGTGACCTAACAGCATGCCTGAGAGCTCTAGAACAAAAAGAAGCAGACTCACCCAGAAGGAGTAGATGACAGGAAATAATCAAATTGAGGGCTGAAATCAATAAAACAGAAACAAAGAAAACAATACAAAGAATCAACGAGACAAAGAGATGGTTCTTGAGAAAATCAACAAGATAGACAAAGCCTTACCCAAACTAATCAAAAGGCAGAATGAAAAAAACCGAATTAATAAAATCGGAAATCAAAGGGAGACATAAAAACAGACACTGAGGATATCCAGAGAATCATTAGCTCATATTACAAAAACCTGTACTCCAAAAAATTGGAAAATGTAAAAAAAAAATGAACAATTTTCTGGATAGGTAACACACACCAAAATTAAATCAAGACCTGGTGGACAATATAAACATACCTATAACCTACAAGGAAACAGAAGCACTCATCAAAAGCTTCCCAAGCAAAAAAGGCCCAGGGTCAGATGGTTTCAGCTCAGAATTCTACCAGAACTTCAAAGAAAAGCTACTACCTAAACTCCTCAAAGTGTTCCACATAATAGAAACGGAAGAAACATTGCCAAATTCTTTTCATGAAGCTTCAGTTACACTGATACTAAAACCACACAAAGACTCAACCAAAAGAGAATTACAGAACAATCTCACTCATGAACATAGAGGCAAAAATACTCAATAAAATACTTGTAAACCGAATCCAAGAACAAATCAAAAAAATCATCCACTAGGATCAAGTCAGCTTCATCCCAGAGATGCAAGGATGGTTCAACATATGAAAACCTATCAAGGTAATCTACTATTATAAATAAACTGAAAAAAAAAACATATGATCATTTCATTAGATGCTGAAAAAGCATTTGACAAAATCCAACACCCCTTTATGATAAAGGTCTTAGAGAGAACAGGGGTACTAGCAACATATCTAAACATAATAAAAGCAATATACAACAATACAGCAAGCCGTCAGCCAACATCCAATTAAACTAAAAGAAACTGAAAGCGATCCCACTGAAAATCAGGACTAGGACAAAGCTGTCCACTCTGTCCATGTCTATTCAACATAGCTCTTGAGTTTTGACTATAAGCAATAAGACAACAAAAGGAGATAAAGGGGATTGAAACTGGAAAGGAATAAGTCAAACTTTCATTATTTGCAGATGATAAGACAATATACATAAGTGACCCCAAAAACTCTTGCTAGAAGACTTCTACAGCTGATAAATACCTTCAGTAATGTGGCAGGATACAAGATCAACTCAAAAAAAAAATCAGTAACCCTTCTAATATATAAATGATAAAGAAGTTGAGAAAGAAATCAGAAAAACAACACATTTCACAATAGCCACAAATAACAAAATTATTGGGGTAACACTAAACAAAGAAGTGAAAGTCCTCTTTGACAAGAACTTTAAGTCTTTGAAGAGAGAAATTGAAGAAGATACCAGAAAATGGAAAGATCTCCCATGCTCTTGGATAGGTAGGATCAACATAGGAAAAATGGAAATCCTGCTAAAGCAATCTATAGATTCAATGCAATCCCCATCAAAATCCCAACACAATTCTTCACAGACCTTGAAAAGAACAATATTCAACTTCATATGGGAAAAAAAAAACTATCATAGCCAAAACAATACTGTAAAAACTTCCAGAGGCATCACCATTCCTGACATCAAGCTGTGTTATAGAGCTACAGTAATGAAAACAGCTTGGTATTGGCATAAAAACAGAGACATTGATCAATGGAATTGAATCAAAGACCCGAATATTAATCCATACACCTATGAACACCTGATTTTTGACAAAGAAGCTAAAAATATACAATGTAAAAAAAGCATCTTCAACAAATGGTGCTGGTAGAAGAATGAAAATAGATTCATATCTATCCCTATGCATAAAACTCAAGTCCAAATACATTAAGGATTTCAATATAAATCTGACCACACTGAATCTGACAGAAGAGAAAGTGAGAAGTAGCCTTCAATGCATGGGCACAGGGGACCACTTCCTAAATATAATACCAGTAGCACAGACACTGAGAGCAACAATAAATAAATGGGACCTCCTAAAACTGAGAAGCAAAGGACACAGTCAATAAGACAAAAAGGCAGTCTACTGCAGGAGAAAAGATTTTCACCAACCCCACATCAGCCAGAAGTCTGATCTCCAAAATATATGAAGAAATGAAGAAATTAGACATCAAAATTCCAAATAACCCATTAAAAAATGTGGTACAGAACTAAACAGAGAATTCTCAACAGAAGAATCTCAAATGGCCAAAAGACACTTAAGGAAATGTTCAACATCCTTAGTCATCAGGGAAATGCAAATCAAAATGCTTCTGAGATACCATCTTATACCTGTCAGAATGACTAAGATCAAAAACACCAATGATAGCCTATGCTGGAGGGGATGTAGTAAAGGGAACACTCATCCATTGCTTGTGGGAATACAAACTTGTACAAGCACTTTGGAAATCAGTATGGCAGCTTCTCAGAAAATTGGGAATCAACCTACCTCAGGACCCAGCAATACCACTCTTGGGCATATACGCAAAGATGCTCAATCATACTACAAACGCATTTGTTCAGCTATGTTCATAGCAGCATTATTTGTAATATCCAGAAGCTGAAAACAACATAGATACCCCTCAATGGAAGAATGGATAAAGAAAGTGTGGTACAGTTACACATTAGAGTACTACTCAGCAGTAAGAAAAAATGACATCTTGAAATTTGCATGCAAATGGATGGGATTAGAAAAAAACATCCTGAGTGAGGTAACCCAGACCCAGAAAGATGAACATGGGATGTATTCACTCCTAAGTGGATACTAGCTATAAAGCAAAGGATATTGAGCCTATAGTTCATGATCATAGAGAAGTTAAGTAAAACGTGAACCCTAAGAAAAACATACATAGAGCTACCTGGAAAGAGGAAATAGACAAGATCACTTGACAAAATTGGGAACATAGGGTGGGTAGAATAGAGAGGGCAGAAAGGGAAGACTAGGAGAGAAGGGAGGGGGTAGAACTTGAGGTAATGGGATAGTGGAAATGTAGGAAGGCCAGAGATGAGATCAAGGAAAGAGGTATTTTGAATAAGGGAGCCATTATGGGGCTAGCAAGAAACCTGGCACTAGAGAAATACCCAAGAATCCTCAAGGATGACCCCAGCTAAGAACCTAAGCAATAGAAGAGAGGGGGCCCAAACTGGCCTTGCCCTGTAGTCAGACTGATGAATATCTTAAATATCACCATAGAACCTTCATCCAGCAACTGAGCTCCCAAAGTCCAGCTGAAGAGTGGGAGGACTGACAATATGAGCAACAAAGAGGTCAAGACCATGATGGGGACACCCACCGAAACAGTTTACCTGAGCTAATGGGAGCTCACCAACTCCAGCTGGACTGGGAAAGAACAAGCATAGGACCAAACTAGTTACTCTGAATGTAGTTGACAGTTGCATGGCTGGGGCAGATTGAGGGGCCAGTGGCACCAGGATTCATCCCTACTGCTTGTACTGGCTTTCTGGGATCCTATTCTCTTAGGATAGATACCTTGCTCAGCCTAGATATAGTAGGGTGGGCCTTGGACATTTCTCAAAGCAATGTGCCTTACTGGCTCTGAGAAGGGGATGGGGGATAGAGTGAGGGGGTAGGTAGAAGAGAATGGGAGGAGGGGAGGAAGTGGGAACTGGATTGGTATGGAAAATGAAAAAAGATAGTTTATATTCTTTCTAAAAAAAATAAAAAAAGAGTGGCCTTTAATTCCTAACAGTCTTGCCGTTACACCCCACATGCTAAGAATACAGGGATGCACCACCAAGCTCAGCTTTAGTTAATTTTCATGTTATTCATACAATTCTTTTAAAAGACAGAAATCTTTTTTTTTAATATTTATTTATTATGAATACAATATTCTGTTTGTGTGTATGCTAGCAGACCAGAAGAGGGCACCAGGCCCCATTACAGATGGTTGTGAGCCACCATGTGGTTGCTGGGAATTGAACTCAGGACCTTTGGAAGAGCAGGCAATGGCCTTAACCTCTGAGTCATCTCTCCAGCCCCAAAAGACAGAAATCTTAACTTACCTGCAAAAACACTGAGGGAGTTCTCCTTGGCCATATAAAGGAAACAGAAATGGAGTATTGCCGTACCGCCCAAGACAGTGAAGAAAGTTTTTGGTAGCTTTGAATTGAACTCAGGACCTTTGGAAGAGCAGGCAATGGCCTTAACCTCTGAGTCATCTCTCCAGCCCCAAAAGACAGAAATCTTAACTTACCTGCAAAAACACTGAGGGAGTTCTCCTTGGCCATATAAAGGAAACAGAAATGGAGTATTGCTGTAACGCCCAAGACAGTGAAGAAAGTTTTTGGTAGCTTTGAGACCATCTACAGTATGGCTTGTTGTCTCTGATGTCATAGCAATTGAATGCAGGACAAAATACTGCAGGTTGGGGGTTAATTTTTGAGTTTTTAAATATTCAGAAAATGTTGTTTCCTCATATGCTATGAAAAGAAAGATGAAATTTTATAAATTAAAACCAAATTTAATTTCTATTTAAAAACATCACACATTAATATAGCCAAATCTGTTAGAGACTTCAAACAGCATACAAGTGGTCATTATCACTACATTTTGGACTATTGGTCTTAAGAACAAAATATGGAAACAACCTCATATCCTAAATGATTTGATGGCACAGTTTTTAAAATTTAAATGATAAATCTTTATTTAGTATTTTATTGATATAAAAAACTAGGAAGACATTAAATAACTCAATGAATTATGGTGGGTGGCAATATCCTCAATTCATTAGCATTTAAACTATAGAATAATGTCAACACATGTGAAAATATTAAGCAAGATAAAATATAATGAACTGATAAAATGCATTAATAAAAATGTCATTTCTGCTACATTTTGCATTTTACTTTTCTTAAATATATATTTTGCATTCAAACCTAGAATAAAAACTTTTACTAAAAAATAATGAAACTAATTTCTTTCTGGCTCCTGGAACCCAAAATACTGACAATCACACTTCAAATAATACGGAACCCCTATAAACCTAATCCTTTCATTACATAACAGAAAACAAGTAAACGCTTTACTACTGGAAGGAAATAATCATGCAACAAAGGACATTACTTTAGGGAAATAATATAAGTCAATAAAAATAACAGAAATTAACTGACTGAGAGACTCTTAGTTTAAGCACTGGAAAGAACTACCTGGTATTTATTGAGGCTTTACTACCAAGAATTAGGTCTTCACAATTGTGTCAAAACAAATCAATGATGCAAATCTCAGTGTAATTTTATCAGTGAATTATCAACAAAATATTTTAATTTTGCACAATTTTCCAGCTCACATGTACTTGAAAAGCAGCTGACACTAAAACAATGAAATGAATTTTCAACGAACTAAAGTAACTGCCGTTAAGTTTGCAATAATACAATATTAATTGGAAACCATAGCTTCTCTAAATCTAGAGGTTTCCACTATACAATACATATCATTTATGTAAATCAAAATGAATGGCTCAATATGTCAAGTGAACGTAGTCTTAAAATATGACATCTACACAAATTTATTATTGATAATAATAACGATAAAATAACAAAAAAGAATGTGATATATCAACAATCAGTTAATAGGTCTTATCACATAAGCAATGTCCTATGCTCAATTCCTAGTGTCATACACACACAGATTAAATAATCAGCTAACCGGGGTATTTAATTTACAAAGACTAGAAATGGGAGTCTGGCATGACATTCTGGCAATGTTGAAAATATCTGCATTATACTTACTAGACACAAACTGAACTATGGCTAGCATAACTGAAGGAATGAACTTTTCAGCATTTTTTTATTGAATTTAAATAGTACCATGTTGCTATGGCTAACTTACTGGATATAGTAGAGTTAGAGTACATTTGAGAATAATCAATTGTTTACCAAATTGAGGAAGCATATTAAAATTAAAATCACAAATAATTAGAAAACCCAAGTTAATGAAAAGCAATACCTTTGTATTCATCAGGATGTTCTTCATATTCCATACAAAATGTTAGAAATTTCATTAACATTCGTTTTTCTACCATAGTAAGTTGTTTGCTATTGAAGACATCTGCTCTAGAACAGGGAACCTGAAAAGATTTGAAAGTAAAGATGATTTGAAAATGCCTGCTAATCACACAAATATTCCACATTATACTTTGTATTCCTTTCCACATTACAAGGTTATCATTTCCATTCCATTCTGGCTGCTTCCTGTCACTTTTCATCAGCTCTAATAGCATCTCTGTTAACTACAGAGCTAATTAACTTGAGAGCTCTGTTACTTAATTCTGCCAAGTTGTTCTTCGTGCAATTAAAAGGCCAATGACATGTCACCCATAATAGGGAACATATGACAATTCAAATATAGTACTGCTGCCTGAAACTAGCATTCCTCAACATTCAATCAACCTGGGGAACAAATGTTCAAAAATATCACAGGAAACTTAATGAAGCAAATTTTGTATTTACCTTTATAAACAACCATGCAAAGATGGAAATAACTACCTTACTAGGAAAACAGATACAGTCCTTTGTTCTTTTTCTAAGTGAGTAATAGTAACTTGGCTGACACAGTTGAGCCGTACAGTACCTGTTCCACAATTCCGTCTCGAAATGCAAGAATTCTCGTAATATTTTTAAACTCTGCATATCGACTAACATTTGATTTGATTAGAAGATCAATTAGTAATCCCCGAGAATAGAGAAGCTGCAGGTAGAAAGTGTTTGAGAGGATACCATCAAAGGCAAAATAATGGAAAACAGCAACTAACACACACAGACACACACACACACACACACACACACACCTGCTAGAATTGAAGTTACATGTTTTTTAAATGTAAAAGTATTATACAAATAATTTATTAAATGATCCCAGTTCATTATTGAAATTGAAACCAAAAAATTCTATAATATAAAGCTTTCTCTATAACTTGTTCTGGCAGTAAAGCCTGAACTCTTAAATGGTTCTTCTAGTCTTGTCTGGATATGAACATCCATGAATTTCATTACAGAAATGTTCATGTGTTTAGTTATGAAATCTCGGGTCTGCTAACAAGGTCACACTGCACACAGTACACCAACAGAATACTGTATTTCCTTCTGAAATATCTTTGTCATCTGAATGATATGGTACTTCAGAAAATAGAGCCAGTGGTTATAATAAGATGAGTACAGTGGAGCACCCCACGCTAACAATATAGACAAGTCAATAAAAACAAACAAAATGGCATCACATGGATTTGTGATAAATTTCCATAACAGAGTCAAATTCTAGGCCCCTCAAAATCTAAGTATATAATAGGACCATTTCAAGAAGTGAACAATTTTACTATTGACATGTGTGTGAAGCATTGACCTAATCTTTTGCCTTACCTCATAATTAATACCACGGAAAAAACAATAAAACTTTATACAGTATTATCAGTCATGTTTGAAATTCAATCATGTATAAATATATATTTGTCTACTTCCTATGATCATTATATTTATATTCTATAACTCAAAAAATTAAAAAGATAAAGGATACTTCCATAATAACTAGAGAAAAATTAAATAAAATGTTTGACTATACAAAGAAATGTGACAGTTCAAAATTTTAATTTCAATAATTTGAGCACCTAGGAAGATAATCTGAAAATCAATATAAATTATGTACAATTTTGTAAACTATAAATATTAGGTAAGCATTATGCCAACCAAAGTTAGTGGCATTTTTAAGCATTAATCCAAATACTCTGACTAAATAAATATGCCATGTTATTTGATTAACTCATTCCTAACACACTACAAAACTGATACACTTTACATTATTTTTAAAATAACAAGTTTTAACTATAAAATAAAGTGGTATCTCAGTTCCTTAAAAAATAATTATTTCTAATGCAACACTATCACGAGATGCAAATTATATAAATTAATATTTATATAGACCAAAAACTCATTCTTATTAAATCAAATAAAACTTGAAACAAGTGAATTTCAGTTTCCACTGAAGAATAAAAACAAATTTCAACTAAAATTATCTTAGACATAAGTTTCTGAAACATGGAAAAAAATATATGTACCATATTTAATCATAAGTCTCTTTTTCTTTTTTTTCGTATTTAATCTTTTTATTTTTAAGTATAAAAAGTGACAATAATGACAGCAGAAGAATTCGGAGAAATATAGAAGTCACTTCATCATTTATAAAGTCATTTATAAAGCAGTTTTGTCCCATGAGCTGAAATATTAAGTCACCATAGGAAATTACACTTAGCTTCTTTACTTAGGATGTAATTTATATATGTTACAGCATATTTTAAATTCCTCACATCAGAGAAGTTGTAATCAACTGTTACCGTGGAGGACTCCCTTTTGAAACTTCTTTCCCCATTGTTTGGTTCAAAACAGTAGAATCTTCTATAGAAAACATTTTATATCCTTTGTTGGCTATTCTTTTCTCTCCTGAAAACTCTTGGAAGAACAAAAATCTTTTCGAAGTTCTACTCTTTTAAAGGGAGTAACTATCAGGCTATTTTCTCCATTAGAAGTTATATTTATTACAACATATTCCTCATGAACTTTGAGGATCAGGGAGGAGTCATTAGACCAGATTAATAGTTTGAGTCTTAAGAGATTGAAAGCTAAGAAAGAAGACACAAAGCCATTCGGAGAGATGAGGAAGGACACATATGTAGTATGACATGAATTATTGTTCACCCCAACAAAAGCTAAGAGTGATGATCACATCTTAATGATGACATAAGGAAGTCTAGGTTTTTAAAGATGTCAAAGGAACTTTGCTAATAGAAACCAGGGTCTACATTTGACTGCTTTGTAGAAGTGCACAGCACACTGTACAGGGGTATAGCCTCATATTTAAATGACCATGGTGATGCTCCAACAAATACCCAGATGCCAGCACCAGGCTTTTCGACAATACTCTCAACAGTCTGTGTAAATCAGCAGTGAACTATACATGAACACACCCTCCTAGCACACCCTATTTTTTTTCATCTAAGCAGTGCGAGCAGTCCATGTCTGATGCCTAGAAGTCACTGGGAGACACTGAAGACATTTCTAAGGAAAATAAAACCAAAGCAAAGTCACAATGAGGACAGTTTGGAGTCGGACCTTCCTGAGTCACATCTTACAGCCCACAGTGGCTATTGATGGGCTGCCTTAATCCACGCCAGCATTTTCACATGGACATATACAGCATAAGTCTCTTTTTCAATGGCCCCTAAGTAATCTACCATGGCAATTTCACATTGATGAGATATGAAACAACGTTGTAATTACACTCAAATAATCAGAATTACTATTAAACACTTTTTCTCTATTTGGCACACTGGCTTCATAACTGAGATAAATAAGCTTACTTTGAATAGTTTTTAATTGGAAAAAAATTATGTAATGAAAATTTATTTATCTACTATTCTGAATAGTATAATATTTTATGTAGGGAAATATTCATATTTCCACACACTAAGTTCAAAGCAAACAGGCATACCAGATTTCCTCAGCAAAATGTGAGATGCATGAATTGCTCCTTCCTTTTCTCTTATCACACCCTTTATGGCAAGCTTGACTGGATATTTAATTATTAATTTGAACAAAATCAGCCTTGCTTCTTATGAACCCAATGCAGTATTGAAGTCTCCCATGATCCAGAAACCACATCAGAAATTACAAGAAGCTAACGTTAGAGTTAATTATGGAAACACTAGCAAAGACAAGAGCATTTGTCACATCCTTTGTCACCAGCAGAGAGGTATGCCCCAGTGTCTTCAAACCTTACCATATGGTTTTCAAAAATGCATTTGTTTATTCTGAATATTTATATTGAGGCTAAATTTTATAGGGGCTAGTGACATTTATATGAAATTTATTGCAAAGAACATGAGATTTTAACACAAACTAAATAGAATTTTTCTTCTGATGGAATTCATAGTGCCCATGAATTAGAATATTAGGATGAACTACCTGCCCCTATACAAAGCATTCTTCATGTTCAAAAATACTTAGTATAGTTTAAAAGTACAGTTAAGTATATTAATACTATCATTTTAATGTATTTTAACCTATTTTGTTACTAAATTATAAAATTTTGTTTACTATCTTTATATAAAGCAAACTCTTTATAATTCAGAAACTAAAATGAAGAAAAGTACACTTAAGAGCTCTAGATGTTATTTTCAATCAATTGAAAGTTATTATTGTTCTACGTTAAGATGTACAAAATAGGTACTTACTTTTGATACTAAATCAATATTAAATCTTCTGCCTTCTTTAATAATCTGTGAGTAAGTAATTCTATTTTTCTTTGGTGGCTCTGTGGTGTCTTGTACTTTAGGCACATTTTCACTTGACTCTTCTTCTGTAGCTTTATCATCACTATGATTTTCTTTTTCTCCTGCTGCTTCAGCATCATTTACTGCTAGTGAACTCTCTGGCTCACTGCTTTGAGTTTGTTCTGCTAGTGTTTCACAGCTCCTAGTGTTTAATGATGCATCTGCAGTAGGCAGGCAAGCAGCCTCTGCAGCCTTTGCAGCCTCTACGGAGTCCGCGGATGTCACAAAAGCGTGATTTTTCTGCAGTGCACCAGCTTCCTCAACATCTTTATGCAAATCCTGACTGATAAGAAATAATAATAATAATAATCAATATCATGCTTCTGACATTTCTAACCTGCTACATTTTTCTTATTGCTTTCAACTTTTCATAGCAAGTTTTACACCTCTATCCTTTTGTCTTAAGTTCTGGTACATACTGTTAAAGTTTCAATTTGAAGCTTGAAATTTAAGATATTAGAGATCATGAACATGAGCATTTTTGAGAATTTCAGGCAGACAAAAGAATCATATTTTAAAAGCAAAAAAACACAGTAAAATCATCAACAACAGATAGAGCCATAAACCCAACTGATTAATATTCTGAATGTATGTATTTCTCTTCTCTAGTCCTACACTATACAGGAATAACAGGACCCACTATCAAATTTGGTCTGAAACTAAACTGACATATTGCATGCAATGAATCCAACATTGTACCTGGAGCAGAGCAACTGCTCACTAATGGCATCTATCAGAAGATTAACATTTAAGTTCTCTATGGACTTGGTAGTGTGACAGAGTACCTCAGTCAAGTGGTGGGAAGTATGCCACGTCAGTTTTCCTATTGTTTTGTGGTATCTACAACAAACTTTCAACATTGTTTCCTATTTACTATTAATATTTATTATTCCACTGAAAGCTTCATTTCCAAAATTATTACTAGAATAAGAATTTTTAGTCTACTGATACCTTGATAGTACAGACTTACATTGAGCTAGCCTACATAGTCAATTCCTATTCCAGAAAATTAACTCTTCTCTCTTGAGCTGTCTTATTGTTCAATACCTGGTCCCAACTCATTGTACTTAATGTCTGTTAAGTAAGTAACTGCTAACTGAATGTTTAAGACCTAACAGTAGACCTTCCACTATCAAGCCTAAATCCTACCTCCCTCAAAGTCTTTCTCTTTATAAAATAAATATCTTCCCTCTATACTAATTTAACTGCTTTCAAACATGGCATCTCTACCACTCAATTAATCAACTTGAGTCTCCATATTTTGCCCCTTATCATGTTTTGTCCTATGGGCTATTTGTCCCATCCTCATAGTATCAAAATTGCAGCAGTCCCAAATATAATCACATATTAATAATCTATGTAGTCTACAAAATTTTAAATTCCAAAAAACAACTATATTCATCAGTTTCTCCATGTACTATAATGCATAGATGCAGTTTATCATGCATGTATTTATCAATATCTTTCTAAATGCCCTTTGACTTTTCAGTACATTATCATGCCTAGGCTACATCCTCAAACAGTAAATGCTACTAAATGCAAAACCTTTTGAGAATCATGTTAGTAATCAAAAGATTTTAAACTTTGGAACAATTTGGACAAGGGATGTTCACTTAATAAAGTCTATGTCAATATTCTACTATTAACAAAAGAAAACAATCCTGAAGCACATCTATTTCAAAGTGTAGTGATTTGAATGAGAAATATTCCTCACAGACTCAGGTGTTTAAACACTTGGTCCACAATTGGTGGCAGAGTCTGGGAAGTTTGGGAGGAGCGGCCTTACTGGAAGAAGCATTTCACTGAGGGTGAGTTTCCAGAGTCCACTTCCAGTTTGTTTGCTCTGCTCCATGTGCATAGTTTACAAGATGGAGCTCTCAGCACTCTGCACCAACCACCATGTCACTGTTTGCTACCACTCTTCCTTGCCATAAGAGATTCTTATGTCTCTGGAACCATAAGCTCAGGTAAACTCTTTCTTCTGGAAATTGCCTTGGTCATGATATTTTATCACAATAGTAAAAAAAAAAAAAAAAGCAAGGAATCAAAAAGTTGGTACCAGAACCAGAGAGTGGACTATTGCTGTGAACAAGCCTGACCATGTCAATTTTGGAGGAATACGGTAGACTGTGGCACTTTGAACTAGTAAAACAGTTCAATGCTATAAGTAGAACTTAATGGACATCTTTGGAATTTGAATTTTTGACTGTTAATGAGCTAACTGCTGAGAGATATTTGATTGTGGGGGCTACAAGTTAAAACAACCTATATATTGTAAAGGTATCTTAACTGCAAAATTTGGGTCTAAGGATATGTGGCTTTGGAAAAGAGGTTCTGTTTTTGTTTCTACAGAAGATGAGAAGCTATGGTTTCCTTCCAGGTTAATATGGCTTGATTAAAGAAGACCCTCCCTCCGATGTTAGATCGCCAAAGGAAATTGATAGTCCAGATGATCCAATGTTTCAGAGTGCCTCTGTGCAGTTTCCTCTGACTTCTACATTCAGAACAATGTCAAGGATGCTGCCACAAAATACTCCAGTCAGGACTTAACCATAATTCTAAATTTTTTCAGCGTTCCTCAAAGATTACTAGAACCCACAATCAGCAGAAAGTAGTCTAGAGATCTAAGCCCAAATTCCCAAAACACTGTTTATAAATGTTTGTTTTTATATAAGGGATTGGTTATAAATTGTTATTGGTCATAGTCAATCTCTTTCTAAAGAACAAAGGGGGATATGGAATAAAAATGATGGAGAAAAGGATAAATTATTGAGTCTAATTTAACCCCCCAAAACTGTTAATCTCAACATTTTACAATGGCATGGATTTTAGTTTATTTATATAAATTTAAGATTAAGTTTGTTATACTTTATGTATACTTCTTTTTAAGATATTGTATTTATATATCCCAATTAAATATGTAATATATAATTAAGAAATACAGATTTACAAAAATAAAATAAGTCATCTATAATAGTCAAGCTTATAGTCATGTTAGTTTTCGAGATATACAAAGATACATTTCAGATATTCTTCTAAATTTCAAAGACCTACAGAATGTGGCATTTAAAATGTTTTTTTCTGATTTTTTAAAATTGTTTTTATTGATCTATATAATTTTCTTCATTCCCCTCCCTTCCTCCCCGATCTTATACACCTCCCATGATTTCCATGCTCCCAATGTACTCAAGAGATCTTGTCTTTTTCTACTTCCCATGTAGATTAAATCCATGTATGTCTCTCTTAGAGTCCTCTTTGTTGTCTAGGTTCTCTGGGGTTGTGAATTTTTTTCTTTGCTTTATGTCTGAAAGCCACTTATGAGAGAGTACATATTTGTCTTTCTGGGTCTGGGTTACCTCACTCAATATGATGTTTTCTAGATCTATCCATTTGCCCACAAATTTCAAAATGTCAGGATTTTTTTTAACCACTAAGTAGTACTCCCTTCTGTAAATGTACCACATTTTCTTTTATTCCATTCTTTTTTTTAAAAAAATAGTACTATATAATTTAATTTTTTACTATGTTTGACTATACAATAAGAAAATTTGATTCCTGATGGATCTAACTTGTTAGCTCTTAATAATCATATTTAATAGTTTTTCACAAAAAGAACAAAATTTACAAAAAGAAGTAAATATATGATTATGCTTCTCTGGGAACAGACACCCATCGTAAGTCAATGTTTAAGTCTAATTCCCCATTAGGGTTTCATTGTTCATTATTTTCTGTTTAGATAAAAATGCTTAGTAGATTTTAATCCATTCTTTTTTATTATTATTATTAAAAATTTCCACCTCCTCCCCTCCTCACATGTCCCTTTCCCTCGCCCCACTCCCCTCCCCCTCCAGCCCAAAGAGTAGTCAGGGTTCCCTGCCCTGTGGGAAGTCCAAGGTCCTCCCCACTCCATCCAGGTCTAGGAAGGTGAACATGCAGACTAGGCTCCCACAAAGCCAGTACATGGAGTAGAATCAAAACCCAGTGCCATTGTCCTTGGCTCCATTGTCAGCCACGTTCAGAGAGTCCAGTTTGATCACATGCTCCATCAGTCCCAGTCCAGCTGGCCTTGGTGAGCTCCCATTAGATCAGCCCCACCATCTCAGTAGGTGGGATTTAGGTTGTTTCCAGGTTCTGGCTATGACAAATAATGCTGTTAATGAACATAGTTGAGCACATGACTTTATGGTATGATTGAGCATTCTTTGAGTATATACCCCAAAGTTTCCTATTTTAACTTCTGTTTTTATGATAAAACATTGATCAACGATAATCTGGAAAGTCTCTATTTGCCTTAAACATTACACTCTATCATGGCTGGAAGCCAATACAAGAAATCAAAACAGGAATCTGGAGATAGGAGCTGAAGCAGAGACCTTGAAGGAACTGAATTTTGTTACTATAAGTTATTACGGGGTTTTTCCCTCTGGCCTCAGCTAACTTTCTTAACTAGTTCTGGACCACCTGAATAAGGACTGTACTGCCAACGGTGAGCTGGGTCCTTCATTCTACATCAATTTACAATTAAGAAAATGTTCCACAGGCATGACCATAAGCCAACCTACAGTCAATTCCCCAATGTTGCTCCCTTTCACTAGGTGACACTGGTTTTTGCATAGCTGGTGAAAACTAACCAGCACACTTCTATTGCAGAAAAACCAGGGCTTCAATGCCATGTTGAGGAACTTTAAACTGCCATAATTTTAGTTCCAGAGGACCCTCTTCCAAAAGAACCTATATGCATGTGGCATATACCCACATGTCCATATACATGAATAAGGCTTAAAATTAAGTCTTTTATAAATTAAAAGCTATGATATGAAATGTGACTCGTTTTTTCCACAGTAATGTTCATATGTATTTTCTTTTATTTTGAAAATTGATAAAACATAAGATGACAACTTTGAGCAGAAGTTCCATGCGTAAAGATTAAACTAAGTAGTGACAGGATAATTAATTACACTACAGAGATAAGATTGAATATGGCAACTTCTTTTATTACAAACTGAGATTCGAATAGCATGAAAATTGAGCATAGCAACTGATTTTTTCAGCAGCTATCTTGTATATTAAGTAAAATGAGGTTTTACGTAGTAATAAAATCCATTAGACAATGCTGGACAGCTGAAAAGCTGGAAGCTGAAAGTCAAAACACTTCATTATAAGTGTAATCAAAGGTTAATAAATCTGAGGTAGTGGGGAATGTGTAAGAGATTATTTTTTTAGAAATTTGTCCTACTTTGACAAATTAATAAATTTCAATGTTTTCAGCAGCACAAGTTGGTG